ACCTTAATTCAGTAAGGCTGGTGTACTCCAACTATTGGAGGAAGATATAGAGGAAAGAAGAAGAAGATGTGTATTTACGAAATTGTATGCCAAATTACGTCTATGACCCTATTTCTCGGTTCACTGATCGTGGAAATGCGATAGCGTGAAACCAGTAAAGTAGATCCGTGTTTTGCTCGATTGACTTTATAATAATTAATAACTATATTTCTGTTCTAATTTTCTATTCTATAAACTACATATTTTGATTCATACAAGCAAGGATTTGTATAGTGAGAATCTCACTATACAAATCCTTGATACAAGTGAGAGGTTTAGCTAGCTATAAAACCAGGTTCAATCCACCATTTTCTACATAAGAAAATGCCTGTACCAAGTCTAGCCTGGCATCCCGGCCCGATCTAGCTGCACGTCTAGTACCAAGCCGTCAGGAATATGACAGTTGTTATCCATTCGTTTGATGTGTTTGAACTTTTGATTTTGCCATTTGATTGGGGACCTTCCTTTTTGAATTTTCCTCGGAGTTCAGTATTTTTGTGATTTTACTTTTTTATATACCTTTACGTTACAAATATACAACTCCCAGTTTTGGCTACCCATGCTGTTCTTATCTATTAAGTCAGGAATATTCATCAGCTATGTAGGCGTGTCAAAATCGTATCATACGCGATAATGACCTCCCGCAGTACACTGTCACTGTTCTGATTTCATTAACCAGTATTAAACAGATAAATATAACACCAGCACATATTCAGGTTAACGTTTTTGGTAAAATTAGTTTATCATGAATTTGTGATCAAACCAATTTGAAACTTATAGTTCACGTGTGCATCATATCGCGAACTTCTTAAATTATGTGAAAATGGTTTCATAACGATTTCACGGTTCACCAAAGAAAGAAAATGATAGTGAGGACGAGTCATGGTGTCATGTGGCCACATATTCTTGTTTTGCGGTTTACACTAAAGACCTGAATAGACCTGAATAGACCTGAAGATATACTACTCGATTTATTCAAAATACGATTACTTTTTTTTTTATTTTTCAAAGGATTTTCTTCAAGTTAGAATTATTAAAGATCCACATTTTATCAAAAATAAAATGTTTTAAATAAAAAAAACTAATTTTTGATGCCAAACTTGGACCTGAACGGAGAAACGAAAAGACTTGAACGGACCTAAAATTCTACGCCTGGACTTTTTCAAACTTCAATTACTGTTTTATTTTTCAACTTCAACTTGAAGGATTTCCTTCAACTTTAGATTTTGTGAAACGAAAATTTCAATATATTAATAATATTCAAAAAAAAATTATGAACAATACTGTTGGGGTGTCAAACTCGGACCTGAACGGGAAATTAAATTACCTGAATTTCCTATATTCATAATGTGCTGAGGTTTAAGAACAAGTTAAGTAAGAACTGGATATACTTACAAATAAGAATTTAGAATTTAAGTGGTCTTAAATTAAACTTTCTTATAATTGTTAGTTAAAGGTGCTATACGTACATCTGAATTTATAATGAAAAGGTTATTTTATAAGACTTATCTAAACCCCAACCCTTTTACATAAATCTTATAAAATAACATTATGAATATTATTTTTAAAATTTTATGATGACAATCCTATGAATTAATTATAATATTAATTATTTAGTAATTATTATTGCCTAAATTCAGTCATCTGTACATAATTAAATGTTTCCTTATGTTTTAAGGTGTATATAGTTGCTACAATTATACCCTATGGGTAGTGCTCCACAATTAATGGAGGAATATACAAGAGACTGAACTGAACTGAATTGACCTGAAAATCTGCGGTCAGATTTATTGAAGTTCTATAACTGTCAAGTTTTAGTTTTCAATCTTCAGGTCTATTCAGGTCTATTCAGGTCTATTCAGGTCCACTTTCAGGTCTTTAGTGTAACCCTTGTTTGCTTAATATTTTATAGATAACTGCATTTTTTTCAAACAAATATTTTGAAGGAATTCAAATGTTTGGATTTTAAACAAACTTTGGCCTTGTGTCGAAAGACGCAGCATTGTTTGAAGTATATATTTTGATGATTTTATCATAATTTTGTCTTTAGTTGTTTTTGTTTTCACCTGAGGTGAACATGTGTAATAATGTTTCGCAATTTTATAATTTGGTCGAAGTATAAAGAAAATTTCCGGTTAAAAATAAAACTTGTTTTATTATATCATCAGGGAAAAAAGAGAGCTTCAAAACAGAAATATAATCAATAAACAAATAATCCTGTTATAATTCTGCTTCTATTAGTACCAAAGTGATTAAATTCTAACCAGAAATGACCCGACAATGATTTTTAGAAAAAAAATATCATAGTTTGACATGAATGCATTGCAAAATCGTACTAAGGTGATAAATACTTATGACCATGTATTGTATGTCTCTGCCTATGGGAAAAAAAATATGAATACAGCGGTTTTTTGTGTGTCTTCTATTTATTATATTTTTTTTAAACGTCTTTCCCTGTGATATATAAAACAAACTTATCCAAGATACCAGGCTTACAATTTTGTACACCAGACGTACGTTGTGTATACAACAGACTCACCAGTGAAGCTCGGAATAAAAAAAGTTAAAAGGCCAAATAAAGTACGAAGTCGAAGAGCATTGAAAATCATAAATGCCAAAAGTGTTTGTCAAATACAGCTAAGAAAATCTATCCCTGGTGTAGAAAATCATTAGTTTTTCGAACAATTCAAAATTTTGTAAACAGTTAATTTATTAATATTACCATATCAATGATAATTTATGTCAACACAGACTTTCTGACTACTGGGGTGATGATATTATTCTTATACTAGTATGTGACAGAGTCTGGCAGGGGCGTAGCTTGGTTTATATGTGCACGTCCAAATAAATAAAGAACGGGGGGTTTAGGGGGGTGTTGCCCCAGAAATGTTTTTTTTACCAGACGCAAAATAGTGCATTCTGGAAGCATTTCAGTTTTTAATAGAAGACTTATTCAGACATCATTTTCGGTCGAACGAAACACATTGACCACAAAATACAACATTTTCTTTTACTATATATCTTAACCATATATTCTTAAAGCCATTTTTCAGATAGACGGCGTCGACGGTTACCAGTTTCTCTAAAAATAATTATTCGAAAATATTAGCTCCCGCTGTCACATAATTATACATTTAAAAATTAACAAATACTAGAAGTTAAGATTAATTTTTATCTTTTATATATATATATAAAAGATAACCCTTTTCGTCCCGAAAGTAGATAAACACAAAGCTTTTAGCTACCAATTCTTACATCGGTACCGAATTTCAAAGAGTTCTGGTTTTAGATTTTTAGCTGAAAAAAATGCGACATAAATGAACTACGGACGGATGAAACAAAACTAGTACTCATATCTTTAATAACAAAACCAACTAAACAAGTTAATCTGTAAGTTACTGCTCACACAGGAAGCTGGTTAATAACAAAACCAACTAAACAAGTTTATCTGTAAGTTACTGCTCACATATGATATCCATACTATAAGAATTCAGAAGACAGACAGGAGGAAACCAGTATACCCTTCATTTTGCAGTGGAAATATAAAAAGAACTAAGTAACAAATGTGCTTCAAAATAATCGATCATACATATAAATTCGCCAGAAAATGTGATTCATTTTCGCATTAATATCTGCATATAAGGGAATTTCACCAATGTTTAAACAAAAATTGATATCTTTATGTAAAGGTTGCAAAAGCCACCAAAAAAAAGGTGTCTGTGTATATACGTGAAGAAACAGGCCTGCACAAAAGAAACTATAGTATGCCAAAATAGATGAAAACAGTCCACTGACGGAAACATTAAGTTACCCGGCACAATAAACACAATAACTCGTGTTCTATATATATATATACTCTGTATTTTTAAAGGTGTACTCTATTAAGACTTCTTTTTTTTCATTCTATGTGTTTTATTTGTACTCTATCTGGAGCTAAAAGAGAATTAATGCTGTTTCAACAATAAACTTTTATTAACAAAATACAACCAAGGCAAGCAAATTCAACAAGTGTAAAGTAGTATAAAAAATGTATCATAAGTAAATGGGGAATATAATTTAGCAATGTAAACTATTATCTAAAATAGAGAGGTACCAGGGAGAAATTTATACAAATAAATTTACTCTAAATAAAATTGGACCAATCTAATATTTTCCAGCAGAGTGGAAGCTTCATCTTTTCAGACGGGAAACCCGTCTTTAGACAAATTTGAGAACATAACCCGATAATTGCAATATATCTATGTGAAAGTTTATAAAATACGGTATGAAAAGAAATTTGGAAGTACAAAAACTTACTAATAATAAAGAAATAAAAAATTAATGAGACGTAATTGTTATTAAAAATCAGAGACATATAATACAATTGTATTATATGTCTCTGTAAAAATCAAGGACCCCCTTCCCGATAAAAAAAAATCAAATAAAGAGCAAAACAAAATAACAGAAAAGTTAGAGTCTGTCTGGAAATAAAATAACATTTTTTTTATCGAACATCAAGTACAGTAGTCCTATAATATATCTTATATATTGTGAGATTCTGTACGACACGAAAACTGTGACTCAATATAAATTTCAGAGAAGAATATTGCCTAAAAATTGTCTCTGTTAAAGTACCAAATCTTCCACGATTTTAAAAGTAATATTCTGCTCATTATTTTATTGAACACACAGCGATTCAATTAGTTTGCTACTAAGATGCTTTATGTTTGCGAGCTTTTTTTTAAGTGATAATACAATTAAAGGGAATTGTGGTGATTTGCATAATTAAAGTGTTTTGGTATATAGTGATATTTCTTCCATAATAAATTAGAAATAACAAATAATGGTTATATAACAACGACTTGGACATAAGATTGTCAGGTTTTATTTTGATAAAATTCACAAATAATGATCTATTTTTTCAGTCTTGCTTTTGAAAACCATCCCATGAAAAACTATTGATATCCGGTGTGAATGACGTCACGAACATTAAAAGGAAAGAAAGACAATCTGCTTTCTGCTCTTCAAAAGTAACGATTTCAAACACAATTTAGCCGAGTTCATGGTCAGAGTGAACTGTAAAGACTTCTCTCTTCACTAGATTACCAAGTGTTCACAGATAGACATGAATAGTCTATCATTAAGCGAACTGTGCTGTTTGTTCTGTTGTCCACCATGTCCATCACGAATCGCAGCTAAACTGGCATTTTTGCCTCCTGAACCAACATATTCATTAATTCCTGATGAAACAGGTTCAAAGTTCAGTCTCCATTTAACAGAACGAGCTGAATGGCAATATTCTCAGCGCGAATTGGACTGTATAGAAGTGTTCTACACTAGAACCACAAAAGGAAACCGTATTGCTTGTATGTTTGCAAAATGCTCACCAAATGCTAAGTACACATTATTGTTCAGTCATGGTAATGCAGTAGATTTGGGACAAATGAGCAGCTTTTACATAGGACTTGGTTCTCGCATAAACTGTAATATATTTAGTTATGATTATTCTGGTTATGGTGGAAGTTCTGGGAAACCATCAGAGAAAAACCTGTACGCTGATGTTGACGCAGCATGGAATGCTTTACGAACAAGATTTGGCATTAACCCTCAGAATGTTGTTTTATATGGACAAAGTATAGGCACTGTACCAACAATAGATTTGGCATCCCGATATGAAGTTGGTGCAGCTGTTCTTCATTCACCCCTTACATCAGGAATGAGAGTTGCATTTCCAGATACGAAGAGAACTTGGTTTTTTGATGCTTTTCCAAGGTATGAATAGACAAAATTTTGCAGTATTTCTAAAGATTCTGGCTGGTAATTTTGTTCAGTATCGGGTCCGTTTCCTCCCAATATATGTTTGCACCCTACACATTGGCACCCCACACGTTCGCCCCCTGGGTTTGTTCACACCATATTTTTATTCAAATACTGGTTGAATTATTAGATGTTTTTTTGATGTATTTATCAAAATATTTAAATTTTCATTAATAAAAATTCAGGAGTTTTTAAAATGAAATATTTTCTTTGTGATTTGATGATTAATTATTAAATGTTAATTATGTATAATTACTAGCTGTTAATTGACGTCTTAATTTGTATTTACAAAGCCAAATTTGGTATTATTGTTCTGTGAAAATTATGATTGTTGTTATACTACATGTAGCTGTGATGTAAATACTGCATGTAGTTAGCTTGGTATGAGTACACTCAATAAAGATTTGGTATCTTCTGCCTTTTTTTTTAATACAAGTCTACATCTTAGATGAATGAACTATGCCTTCATCTTTATGACAATCTTTATTCATGATTCAATAAAATTAAGTAATAATAATTTATTAAACACTAAACATGCTAAAGGAAACCTGTTTATGTTTTAAGAATATCACTTTATTTTAAGGAAACAAAAACTTATTCATAGCAATACACTAACTTACATGTAAACACGATTAAAAATGTATTCCACACAAAACCAATAAAAAGGGTGCAAACGGACCCAGGATGCAAACGTGAAAGGGTGTGAATGTGAATGGGAGCGAACATGATTTTGGGCAAACAGACCCAGATTCATTTTGTTCGTCTGGTAAGTCCTGTCATTTAACAAAATAATAGGACTTGCGGGGATGAACACATAACTATATACATGTAGCTTAGGGAAAGGTTTATGACCCCTTTTCCAAGGCTGTGAGTTGTGAAATTTCAAAAGTGCAATAATATCAATTCAAAACAGCCATTGACAGCTATAAGATAATAAAAAAAATAATACACAAGCCATTTTGAACACGTACATTAGTGTTTTATCTTAAGCAATTTAGCATGGGGCGACACCATGCCCTTTTTACCTGATTCCCCATGCCCATTTTTTCAGATGCCATGTGCTCTTTTGCGTTATCTGGATCGAGATCGGGTCACTGTATTGGGTTTTTTGCTGATGGAAGGGCGACAAGCATTGACTAATTTTGGTTGCATGTTATTTCATGATCACCGAGACTCGAGAGAGTGTACATGTACGTCAAATCATTCTAACTTTCAGCAAAATAAGTTTGTTACTTCATTAGAACGTTTTGAAAGTTGCCTGAAGTAAATTTGTAATCCGTATATTGCATTAAAAACGTCGTTTTCCTCTCCAAATTGTGTGCCAAACATCGTTTATTTTTGTTAATTTTCTTGTCCGCCATTGAAATATTTGAACGAACTACGGATCGTAGATGGGATTCATCGGAAACGGACCAGCTACATTGTATGAACGAAATCCGGATTCTGGGACTATTATACTGATATCATTTTACATGTATTATGCCCCAGCTTAACTTTGTTAAATTTATATACATGTATCTTTTTAATGAGAAACACTGAATTTCATAAACATGCATATGATAACAATGTATATTTTTTATTGAATTTTAATTGATATAACAACTTTCTTTTCCTATATCAGTTTTAAAAAGAGAAGTCACTTCTACCTATGATTCTGAAGTAGTGTACGTGACCCCTGAATATGTGTAAATTACTATTTTATTTATGTGCCCTATTTGGTATAGTCGACGCGCAAAGTGCCCTTTTTGTAAAAAAATTACCATGCCCTTATTCAGTTCTAGATAAAACACTATACATGTACATGTATCCTGTCATGTAGCTGTACATGTATCATAAAAAATTCATTCACAGCAATAATATTTATTGCTTTATTGCATTTAAAGGAAGAGGGCATTTTGTGGCAACTCAAGACAAGACTTTTTCAGAAGGCCATAGACTATTTACAGGATTTTTGTTATAACATTTTGACCATAGATCATTACTCATCTGGTTGTCAATGTTATGCTACTGTTTAAATTATTGTTTATGTTTTGCTACAGTTTATATAATTGTTCTTAAAAAGTGCTAATCTACTTTTATGTAGTTTTGTGAGTTTACATGTACACTGACTACACATGTACAAATGTACATGAATTTTGAAACAGCCTGTTAAATCCATCATGACATTCAAGACCACCCTAGATAATTGATCATGGCCTACCACCAAGGCAAACAATGAAAGGATTACAATAGCTTTAATGCAATAGTTGAAAATCCTAAAGCACTACATCATAAACATTTGAACTGCTTGTTAACATTTTGTTGGCTTATTCATGTTATTCAGCCTTATTCAGACAAAATGAATAGAACAAGTGATGCTGATTTGTGAGCTCTCTCCAACCATCTACATATATACCTATTATGAACAGAGTTGGTACCAGTCCTGCCAGTTGCAGAGAAGAGAACATTTATTGAAACTTTTATGTGTATCTCTATTATTTAGCGAAATATACCATAGGCACCAACCATTCATCTTCTATGTTTTTTGTTTGTTTTGTTTTGGAAGGGGGATATTGGACTATTGGTATAATAGTTTGTTTCATTAGGGAAGTGAAAAGTAGTTTTAATTGTTTTCCTTGAAAAATTATGGCAATAAATTCTTTGGGTTTCAAAAAAAATTTTCCTGTTTCTGTACATGTATGTTTAATATTATCAAAAAATAGTTTGTTTCTATTAGAATCTAAAATATTTAAGTCCAGAATTAAACCCATCTTCCCAAAAAAAGATGAATGGTCGGTTTCTTACATTAGATATACAACTCTTTCAAGTGATTGTTTTTGATATATATATATTATATACATACATGTATATATGTACATTGTACATGCACTCAATTTTTTTTTTATGCAAGCTACAGTTCTTTCAATACTCTTATTTCAGTATAGAAAAAGTTCCAAAGATAACCTCTCCAGTGCTTGTGATTCATGGAACAGAAGATGAAGTCATAGATTTCTCACATGGTTTACAAATACACGAACGATGTCCACGAGCTGTTGAACCATTGTGGGTAGAAGGAGCTGGTCACAATGATGTTGAGTTGTATGGACAGTATCTTGATCGACTGAAACAGTTTATTAATTCAGAATTAGCAATAAACTGATTAGCAGTTCTGATTATGTTCATATCAAAATTTTAATAGAAACATATTGTGACTTCTGTATTTTCAGGTACAATGTCTGAGATATTGTTTGGTCAGAATTTTAAATGTGAATTGCATGGACAAAGATAATTTATATTTTTGCAATTCTCAACAGTTCTTTAACTCATTTCATGTGTCAGATATGAAAATGGGTATATATGCTTTTTTTTAGATAAAACATTTGTATACTATATACATGTAGATCATAATGTATGTATTATAAAGATTTGCCAGCAATCTCCATATATACATGTATACCTATTTCATGTCAGATTAGGAGCATAGACATGATAGCGATTACAAAACTTGGGAAAAAAAACAACTTTTTAAAAGTATAAATGTATGACAAGATTCATGTAAATCATTATTTAGATACTACAGAAAATAATAATACAATGATCAGATTATTTAGAAGTGTTAATTAACTTCAGTTGTGTGGCAGATCAGTTGTGTTTCTGCAGTGCATTTACGTAGAGAAGAGTTGATGTTTGTAAAAACAGATAAAGTGCTCAGGAATGGCTGATATTTGTAGGATTTTCAACCCCTGATTTTCAAAGTACAGTATTGTTTTCCTCTAGACTTAACAGTGTTTGATGATAGTTAATTTCATGTTATATGTTTATCTTGTACATGGCTATAAGTAAGCTTAAAGTTTGACTAATACTTTTATGACATTAGGGAGAAATTGGAAATGTAAGAGCAAAAGTTAAAACAAAATGAAACTTGTGTATTCAAAATTGTAAATCCCCCTGATTTTTGGTGTGTTCAAATTCCATTTATATACATGGGGAAAGAAAATTGATATGACTGTGGAGTAGTTATTCAGCAACTTTTAGCAGATTAAATTTGTGAATATTGTTGAGCTGTATCGTGTATTGTGAAGACAAACTAGTCAATTATTTGTCAACATTTCTTTGATTAAAGGTATGAGTGTGTATAACTACATTAAAGTAATGTAGGTCATCAATCCTGTAGCAAAATAGCATAAAATTAAAAAGTAAAGAATGGCAAAACTTAAGGAGCAAAAGCAACTTTTATATTTTAGTAAGGGTTATATATGTTTATACCTGTACATAATATCTATCTTAACTCATTTTGGACATGTTAATGATAAAACTAATGATAAAAACATTTCTGTACATGTACTAACATCAAATCCATTTATGTAAGATTGACATTTCATACAGCAGAAGTGCTATACTTAAGCTTCATCCTGAGCTGGTGGCCGAGTGGTCTAAGTAATCGAACTACTGTATCACTAGCCTGTCACACTGAGGTTGTGAGTTCAAATTCTGCACGTAGTAGGTGCGCTCCACTCAATTGACTAGGATTGTCAGTTTACCTACCGAAGGTCATTGTTTTCTCCGGGGACTCCAGCTTCGAATCCCTCCACTTGTACAAACTTTCCGCCTTGAAATAGCACATTTGTGCTGAAAGTGGTAATAAACACCAATCAATCAATCATCCCCAGCCAAGTAGTGTGATCATAAAAAAGTTGAAATGCATCATTTCTAAGCTAAAAACTTTTTTGTTAAGCAACAGCTGGTCATGTGATGTAACAAAACATTTTGTTACTATCCAAATTTATGGACTTGCTGTTTTTCCCCTGGCTTGAAATGAAAATAAAAAATATTTTGGTGTAAATTTTATCTACCCTTGTCAACTTTTGTATGACTGTCTCAATATTCATGACATTGCTGGAAATTGTTTATTCTTCCTGTTTTCAATAGACTTGCAAACAAAAAATCAATGAATAAATGTACAATAGTGCATATATCAATGTAGTAATAGTATCAACATGGTTTGTTACATCGTACATGATATTTTTAACCGTTAAGCATGTTTAGTTTTGTATGAAGAGTTAATCATGCATGTTCTGACATGTATATTATAATGTTCATATATGGTTGGCTTCAAGAACATGACACCTATTTAGAATATTACCATAAGAATGGGACCAGTGTTATACCTATTCCACATAAGAAGTACAGAAATGAATCATCAACTTTGATATGATATAGAATCAGAGCCCTTAATTGTTTAAAATGTTCTATCTTGAAAATGTTAGGAAATATTAAGTTTGTAGAATTTTTTCATTGAAATCTATGTCTGTGCTGATCTTGTCACTATGCCACCTCCAAAAGTTCTGAAAAATTTACATCTTTAGTACTATTATAATGAAACTAGTTGGTGCCCTTTGTGATGTAACAACAAATAGGGCAAAATATAAGCATACTTCTTCATAATTCCCCAAACAAAAAGTACCAGGGAGGATAAATCTCCATTGCTTGTTTGTACAGTATTTATCAATACATTATGTCATAGAATTTTTTTTAATAAAATAGTGTCCTGTTTTTGAAATTCATAAAAACAGGCTTAACCTGAGTTATAACAAAACCTTAAAATAATCATTCCTAATAGGGTCAGAATGAATAATTATTAAATCAGTGTACCCTGGTGCCTAAATGCCCAATGGAAGTAAATATTTATTTATTTATTAACTTACAGCATTCACTGAGTATTTGTAAGTGAAATTATAATGAATCAAAGGTCAGTTCATTAGTGAGGAAATAAATGTTAAAAAATGATTTATTTTCATAGACGTAATTATGTGCAAACTTTTTCCACGTGATAACTGAATCATATTCAAGGAGTGATGTTCATTATTATTATTTTTATGAAGATTATATCTGTATTTTTGTGAAAGATTTTTGTTCTGTACATGTATCTGTGTTATAAACTTACGTAAGATTTCGTCCAAAGAAAGTATTGTCTATACCTCTTTTATTCTGTAAATAATTCCTTGTATATTGTCATGATAGAATTATTGTTGATATCATATTCATGAATTGGTAATATAATAGGTATTGTTTAACTTATTGTACATGTAATATATAAAATCATGTGTTTTAAAAGTAATATGCCAAACATGGGAATGATATTTCTTGAAGTATAAGACACAAAAACAACATTAACATGAAAATCAGCAGGGACCAGGCTGGGCTTTGCCATGTCTCAAATAGCAGCTGGCAATTTTTCTGGCTCCAACTTTTTTGGAGCCAGGGCAGCCCCTGATTCAGGAACTCTTTCTTATTCATATAGTTATTCCACTTCTATCATAACCTAAATGGTGTGTTTTATAGAAACGTACAAGATACCTTTAGCCCAAATATCAATTAGCCCAATCAAGCATCTCCTATATAGCCATATACATGTACAACAGACAACATCCCTGTGTCACCATTAAGTATGTTTCAATAGAACACACCTTACACAGGCTTGGATGTCAAAAACCTTTAAGTGTCTTCTCTGGTTATGGTTTTTTAGATACTTAAGGTTAAACATTATAAAATAAATATTAAAAAATGATGGGAGCAACTTGTATGTGAAGGAGTCTTTTGTGAGTGTGTGTACTTCAAAGAAATTCAAGTTCATGCTTTTGCTCACTTTACCACACTTTTATGTGTAGTTTTCAGAGATGGATATATCAAAGAAATTACACTGCTTTCTTGTTACACACTGCTAAAAATTTGGTGTACAATTCATAATTGAATAAATTCTATCAACAAAAGTACTTCCAGCTTTATAAAATACCCCATAAAAAATAAAGCAGCTTTACAAGGAAGCACTGTAATTTACAAATATTTTCCTTATGGAGTATATATTATATTTTTCAATTGTTCTTATCTATTGTTATATGTAGAGATACTTAAATATTTTGTTTGGTGTACAAGGACATTCATAAATTTAAATAAACTGAGATTATAAGTAAAATATGAAGAGTTCTATATTATGCAGCAATACTCTTGTATTTTGTGTATTTTCATTAATCATAAATAATATGTAATTACTTCCCACTAGTACTAGCAGGATTACCTTTAAATATAAATTGGATAACAGTTTCCTTATTATTGATTTATTTGTCATCACTTTAGAATTCAAAATATTCATTTATTTTAGATTGAATGTACTGTTTTGTTTCTAGTGATCTCGGTTTTTTTTTTGTTACTGTACATTGTGTTTGTATATTAACAGCTATTTATTTAATTTAATGGACTATTTTTCAGTAGGAAGTATATAACACTAAGAAAAACCACCATATGTAAGCTATTAAATTTTGAATGTTACAAGATACAAAATTTTATTAAATTATATATTTAAAGCAAATGATGGTGAATAAAATAGGCATTATAGATAAGAATGACTGGTATTACACTTCTTTTCTTTTTTCAAAACAGTTACAAAATCAACTGTTTTCATTTCACCCCCTGAAAAAAAGAAAAGAAAAAAAAGAGCACATTACATTTATTTTGTATGCATGTAAGTAAATTTTTTTCTGTAATTAGTCATAGGTAAAATAACTTAAAAGGACAAATATCTTCTTTTCCAGGAAGTTGAATAAGTGCACATTAGTTAGTTTTCGTGTTTACATACTTTCCATATCAATGAGTAAACAGGATACATAATCCACGAAACCAAGTGTTGAGGGAAATGTTAAATTATAGAGGTATGTTGTAAAATTGTTATGTTTCTGTTTACATTATAATGAGAAGTAATCAATTTAAAATCATTTAAGAGTCATGGAAAGTTATTTTACCTGATCAAAATAAAACTTTGAATTGTCTCCCTTAGATACTGCATGGATTTTTACCAGAGTTTTCATGTCATTAAATGATAAATAAGTATGAACAGAACATTAGTATTACCAAATGTATCAAATTGATTTGAATTGGTGCTTTTACAATGTAAACCATTCATGTTTTAACAATTTGGTTCTTGCAACTGGCAAGTTCAGTTTGGATTGTATCAAAAACATTTCAAATAGCTTCTGTTTAAATGAAATAGAATTGGGCATTTGCAAGAAGTATTTGTTAAAATATTTAGAGTTTATACTGTACAATTTACTTATATGAAAGTAGATTACCAGTTGTAAGTAGTAGCTACTTGTTTTAAATAGATGAGGGAAGGTGTTGTATGAAGATGTTAGATAAAATTTCAAAATTATAAAAAAAAAACTACAATGTAATGGATGTAAAATTTAGTCAGAAAAATAATGTATCTATTGCTATTAATGACAGAGGATTTAGTAATAATAAAATTTTTGGTGGGAAATAATTTCAATGTGATTGAAATACATTGTCATTTTCGTTAATCCATTTAATTGGAATTATCTTCTATTATCTAATTATTTATCCAATAATTCAATTTATTTTTATTTTCATTTTTATTTGGAAAACCTCATATCTCATGGTTATCAAGCACAAACTAGATCTTAGATACATTGATTTTGAAGCAGTTAAGTTTGTTTGATAGTATGAGATAGAGAGAATAACAATCAGCACATGTTAAAATTATCAATATCATTACGATTTTCTCTTTGTATTAATTTTGTTGTGTAAGTAATTTTTTTTTCTGTTCCTCCTTATTTAATTTTGTCTTTAATAAATGTAAAATGACTACTGTTTTTCTTTATTTGTGGTACTCAGAACATATGAGAAGAAGTTACAGTGGATGTACATCAGTATTCGTCACTTGCTGTTTTTCTTTATTTGTGGTACTCAGAACATATGAGTAGGTACAGTAGATGTACATCAGTATTCGTCACTTACTGTTTTTCTTTATTTGTGGTACTCAGAACATATGAGAAGGTACAGTGGATGTACATCAGTATTCGTCACTTACTGTTTTTCTTTATTTGTGGTACTCAGAACATATGAGAAGGTACAGTGGATGTACATCAGTATTCGTCACTTGCTGTTTTTCTTTATTTGTGGTACTCAGAACATATGAGAAGGTACAGTGGATATACATCAGTATTCGTCACTTACTGTTTTTCTTTATTTGTGGTACTCAGAACATATGAGAAGGTACAGTAGATGTACATCAGTATTCGTCACTTACTGTTTTTCTTTATTTGTGGTACTCAGAACATATGAGAAGGTACAGTGGATGTACATCAGTAATCATCACTTGCTGTTTTTCTTTATTTGTGGTACTCAGAACATATGAGAAGGTACAGTAGATGTTCATCAGTATTCGTCACTTACTGTTTTTCTTTATTTGTGGTACTCAGAACATATGAGAAGGTACAGTGGATGTACATCAGTATTCGTCACTTGCTGTTTTTTATACGACCGCAAACAAATTTTTGTGGTCGTATATTGGTATGACATTGGCGTCGGCGTCGTCGTTGTCGTCCGAAGACACATTAGTTTTTGCACTCTAACTTTAGTTTAAGTGAATGGAGCTCAATGAAATTTTACCATAAGGTTCAATACCACAAAAGGAAGGTGGGGATTGATTTTGGGGGTTATGGTGCCAACAGTTAAGGAATTAGGGGCCAAAAATAAGCATTTTTGTAACTTCCAGACATAACTTGTAAGTGTATGGATCTCTCTGACATTGTACCACAAGGTTCCATATCACAAAGGGAATGCTGGGATTGATTTTGGGGGTAATTGCCTCCAAATTTTAGGAATTAGGGGCCAAAAAGGGGCAAAAAACAAGCATTTTTCTAGTTTCATGACAATAACTTGTGTGTAAGTGTATGGATCTCTCTGACATTGTTTCACAAGGTTCCATATCACAAAGGGAACGCTGGGATTGATTGTTGGGGTAATTGCCTCCAAATTTAAGGAATTAGGGGCCAACAAGGGGCAAAAAAAAAGCATTTTTCTAGTTTCATGACAATAACTTGTGTGTGTAAGTGTATGGATCTTTATGAAATTGTACTACAAGGTTCCATATCACAAAGGGAAAGCTAGAATTGAGTTTGGGGGTAATTGCCCAAAAATTTTAAGAATTAGGGGCCAAAAAGGGGCCAAAAATAAGCATTTTTCTAGTTTCCAGACAATAACTTGTGTTCAAGTATATGGATTTCTCTGAAATTGTACTGCAAGGTACCATACCACAAAGGGAAGACTGGGATTGATTTTGGGGGTAATTCCCTCAAAATTTGAGTAATAAGGGGCCATAAAAGGGCAAAAAAACAAGCATTTTTCTAGTTTCAGGACAATAACTTGTGTGTAAGTGTATGGATCTTTATGAAATTGTACTGCAAGGTTCCATATCACAAAGGGAAAGCTGGGTTTGAGTTTGGGGGTAATTGCCCTAAACGTTTTGGAATTTGGAGCCAAAAAGGGGCCAAAAAAACCAGCATTTTTCTAGTTTCAGGACAATAACTTGTGTGTAAGTGTATGGATCTTTATGAAATTGTACTGCAAGGTTCCATATCACAAAGGGAAAGCTGGGTTTGAGTTTGGGGGTAATTGCCCTAAACGTTTAGGAATTTGGGGCCAAAAAGGGGCTAAAAAACAAACATTTTTCTAGTTTCCAGACAATAACTTGTGTTTAAGTGTATTGATCTCTCTGAAATTGTACTGCAAGGTACCATACTTCAAAGGGAAAGCTGGGATTGAGTTTGGAGGTGATGAATCATAAGGGGGTTCAAAAAATTTGGGGGGGGGATTTTTTTTCCTTTTTTTTCTTTAAAATTTTCCATTTTAAATTAGTTATTTCTGATATATATATAAAAGCAAATAATAATGATATGGTTTGAATAGGTAAATTAAAAATTTTAAAGTTCTTAAACCACTTTCATACCGTGTCAGAAACCTATGCTGTGTCAAATATTTAATTACAATCCAAATTCAGTGCTGTATCAAGCTTGAATGTTGTGTCCATACTTGCCCCAACTGTTCAGGGTTCGACCTCTGCGGTCGTATCAAGCTGCGCCCCAGCGGAGCATTTTATCTCTATTTGTGGTACTCAGAACATATGAGAAGGTACAGTGGATGTACATCAGTATTCGTCACTTGCTGTTTTTCTTTATTTGTGGCACTCAGAACATATGAGAAGGTACAGTGGATGTACATCAGTATTCGTCACTTACTGTTTTTCTTTATTTGTGGTATTTAGAACATATGAGAAGGTACAGTGGATGTACATCAGTATTCGTCACTTGCTGTTTTTCTTTATTTGTGGTACTCAGAACATATGAGAAGGTACAGTGAATGTACATCAGTATTCATCACTTACTGTTTTTCTTTATTTGTGGTATTTAGAACATATGAGAAGGTACAGTGGATGTACATCAGTATTCGTCACTTGCTGTTTTTCTTTATTTGTGGTACTCAGAACATATGAGAAGAAGTTACAGTGGATGTACATCAGTATTCGTCACTTGCTGTTTTACTTTATTTGTGGTACTCAGAACATATGAGAAGGTACAGTGGATGTACATCAGTATTCGTCACTAGCTGTATTTCTTTATTTGTGGTACTCAGAACATATGAGAAGGTACAGTGGATGTACATCAGTATTCATCACTTACTGTTTTTCTTTATTTGTGGTACTCAGAACATATGAGAAGTTACAGTGGATGTACATCAGTATTCGTCACTTGCTGTTTTACTTTATTTGTGGTACTCAGAACATATGAGAAGGTACAGTGGATGTACATCAGTATTCGTCACTAGCTGTATTTCTTTATTTGTGGTACTCAGAACATATGAGAAGGTACAGTGGATGTACATCAGTATTCGTCACTTGCTGTTTTTCCCTATATATTTCATATAAGAAGTTTGCTATATTAATATATTTGACCATCACAAAAAGTAATGTTCCACAAAAAAATATTTCAACATGCAATCCATAAATCATATAAAGAATGTCGTAGTTTGTGAATGATTTATATGTAAGTGCAAAAATGCTCATGATAATGCGACACACAGACACAATATAAAAATAAGAAGATGTGGTATGATTGCCAATGAACCAGCCTGACAGAAAAAATGATGTAGAACTAAAAGCAACTACAGGTAACTGTACTGCCTGCAACCATTAGCAAAACCCATACCGCCTAGCAAGCTTTAAAAGGCCCTGACATGACCAATGTTAAACAATTCAAACGAGAAAACTAATGGTCTGATGTAAAAAAAACTATGAAAATCAAATATGATATACAGCAACGAACGACAACCACTGAATTACAGGCTCCTTACTTTGAACAGGAACATGCTGAAAGTGGCAGTGTGTCGAACTCTCCCCTATCCTGGCCATGAGACAGTGGTATGATGGCACAATATTCTTATTTATGCAATGTGAGGATCAGCATTCCCCTAAATGTTGTGAAACATTAAAAAAAAATAAAAAATTGAGGAGACATTTTGTAGCAGAAACGTTGTTCCTCGTATCTATATTATGGAGATGTTAAATTATTCTATAAAGGTACAAAGTTTCAAGTTTCAATAAAAACGTGGCTGAAAATCTGAATATAAACCGTCAAACAGCATTCTTTGAAAATACCATTGACAAATTATTATTGAATTACAGAGTAGAGCAAGTGATTCTGATAACAATAGCATTACCAATTTTGCTTCGCCAGATGTGTATTTCACCGATTATTGTCTTCGGTGATGTTCTATGCTAAACTTTTTGAAAATCTTTAACTTCATACAAATTTTGTGAAAAGCTGATTGAAATAAAAAGTATCTAAAATATAGTAAAATCCAGACAATGAATCCGAGCTTTGCATGATGGAGATATCTAAGTTTCACCATTGACTGCTGCATTGCCATTCATTCTTAAAGTAAGATTAAACAAATTTATATAGTTGCTAATTACTTGACATATGCATTTAGTTTAATTCCACATGAAACTCCTGTTTAGCAATTACAGAAAAAAAAATCGTGTTTGATTATACTGTCAGAATGATGACTAAGAGTACAATCTACATATGTTCATCTTTAATCAGATAATGATCCTTAAAACAGTATACGTATACCAATACGGCTACTTAAACCATCATGTGATCCGGTACTATGATGGTTATTTACTTAATGTTGTTTTCTGGTACAGGATCCTCACTGTTCCTCTTCACTAAGACTCACTTATTGTGATTTGTTCTCTATGATTCCTGTTACCTCTTCTGGACTCAGCTCCATAATCAGAATACTAGTATTAGATATCTTCATGTTCCCAAAGATTGTCAACTGCATGGCCTTGTTAACTTGTAAGTCATTTGGTCTCTGGTGAAGAGTTGTCTCATTAATGACAATCATACCACATCTTCTTATTTTTATCTTTATCACATTTTCCATGTAGCCTATTCCATATTTTTGATAATATTCTAACAAAGCTATTTTTCCTCAGCCTTGTTTCTAAATCTGATGAATGATTTTATCACTTACAGTATTGGTAAATTTAGTTTCTTCAGTCTTTCAGGGTAACTTTAGTTTCTTCAGTCTTTCAGGGTAACTTTAGTTTCTTCAGTCTTTCAGGGTAACTTTAGTTTCTTCAATCTTTCAGGGTAAATTTAGTTTCTTCAGTCTTTCAGGGTAACTTTAGTTTCTTCAGTCTTTCAGGGTAACTTTAGTTTCTTCAGTCTTTCGGGGTAACTTTAGTTTCTTCAGTCTTTCAGGGTAACTTTGGTTATTGAAACATTGTACTAATAATTCGTCGCTCTTTTCTGTACATTTCCAAATTTTTTAAAAGGTGCCCATACAGAAATAGCAAAGTCTTAATGTGTTCTCATTAAGTTTTTGAATCGTGGATGGGAGATTTCAGCATTTAAATTTTCGAAAGATCTTCTTAGTGCAGCAAAAAAAAAAGTATGAACAAAAATACCAAATTCCAAGGTGAATTAAAAAAAGTCCATAAAACTGACAAATTCAAACGTTTGACTATATCAACCAACGGAACGAATGGAAAACAGCCTGTCATATTCCTAACTTCGTACATGCATTTTCCAAAGAAAATGGTGGTTAAACCTGGTTTTATAGCTAGCTTAACCTCACACTTGTATGGCAGTTGTTTCGTTATATTTACAAAATTGGATGATCAACCTAAATAGACATAATTGGTTAAAGTGACAATTATTGGGATTTAGCAGCCAAACTCGTGTAAACAGACAACATATTCAACAAAACTGACAAAAAAAATCAAACAAACATACAAACTTTCTAGGAAGCCAACAAAAAAGTTATTGTCTTTGATAGTTAACTGGACAAAGACGCCAACAACAAAAACTGAGAGAGTTAGCTTTATTTACTTTCTCGAAGATATGTTTGTTGAATGTTAGATCTTCATCCGTATGACCACGCCAATGTCAATCTCTTCTTTGCATCTGTTCAGGGGCGGGTTCAGCCATTTTTAAAAAGGGGGGTCCAACCATACGTCCCCATTCAAAAGCATTGATCGTCAAAAAAGGGGGGTTCCAACCCCGGGAACCCCCACCCCCTTGGATCCGCCACTTCTGTTTATGTTTGACCTGTGTGATTCGTACATTCGTCTCTTGAATTTTGTCTTTTTCATGTACTTACATTCTTCTGGATAGTATTTAATGGGGGCCATGTATCTGTTCAAACTGTTTCATATATCACGATCGTTCTTGTCTCCTATGCTCCTAGATATTTTATTATCATCAGGAAATAAGTAATATCTGCGTCTGATATTAACTTTGCCAATCTATCGTTATAATCACTAGTATTATTTGACGGGGATCTAGTTTATCATTTTGATTTGGCTTTATTTCAATAAATTTTCTAGAAATCTTGTGTTCGTCTGACCAGGATTTCTGTAGCTTCGAGGTTATTATTGTCTACATACAATTATAAGCCCATTCCCTCATCTGCATCTGAGTTTTTCTCAATGTATAGTCTCCTACTTCTTGTAGTGAGTGTTAGGCAATTTTATTTACGCGGGATTTAGAGACCGTGTTTGTTGTCGTCGGAGTACTTTTTTGCAGAAGATACTTTTCATGTTCTATATTAAACATATTTGATTTTTGTGTCTGTGTCAGGTTACAAAATGCATGCTAACTTAATTTTTGCACCAGATCCTTGCCACTTATAGACTATAACCTGATGATTATAAGAAGTATTATACCTTCTGCAAAAAAAATGGAATAGCTTCTGCAAAGTAAAAAGTGATATATTTTTGATAGTCATAACTCGAATACAAAATTTGTTCATGTTAAGTTTTGTCGTTGGTTTGCTGTCCCATGGATGTTTACGCCTTAAATTCATAAATAAAGAATTTCCAGATGTTTATAAATGAATGCCAAACTAGTTTTGATAAACTTAATCAAACAACACTTGCATTTGAACATTTCCTTCCATATGTTTCAAAGTGGCTTATGTCTAATTGGCAATCATATCACTGCTCCTCAAGATAATTTTTATATTATATTTGTTTACATGTTATAACATTTTTTTATGGATTATTTTAATCATTAAAAAGGATAATTCGTTTTCTAAATCTGAACCTGTGCAGTGACAAACAAGGTTAATCAAGACAATCACGCACTGATGTTCCAGAATTCCCTGATCTAACGGCGAACCCTATTAATTCACACTGGATTTTTTCTTCCAAGAACTTCATAACTACAGCAATTTGTTTGGGGTGAAAGAATATTAAAATTTTACGATAAATATCGGAAAACTGTTGGCTTACATTGAAGAATTGTGATCTGTAAAAAGTTAAAACCACTGTCACCAGATATTCAAGATCAAGTAGTCGACTGACTAGCTCATTCTTGATACTGATATAGTGATCTAACAACTCAGAACCATTTTGTCTATAGTTGGAATTTTCCATCTTTGAAAAGAAAAAATTCGTCAACTTCTTTTTTTTTTGCAACATATTGCACTCTGTCTTCCCTTTCAACGTCCGACGTTGACAGGACTATTGCTGAGAAATCATTTTGATTGAATTTTATTGACGAATCAGACACGTTCCTTGTTCTATTAGCAAAATTATGCAGGATTCTAAATAAATCTATAAACTCGCTAACATCTTTAGACCCATTGAACAGAAGGCTTCTAGGTGGTGGAAAGTACAAAGAACTATTCTTAAAACTGTATGCCAGGGTTCCAAATACCAATTTAAACCTACTGTTCCATCCGGGATCATCCACGGAAACGCCTGCTCTTGGTTGTGAACATGACTTGTAAGATATCTTGTGGTTTTTAACCCATGTATAATAATCGTCAGATGACGATTTTTCCTCTCGCATAAACTCGACTGTATTACGGACAAGTCTGCCGTCAGAATTCAGTATTTTGACTAAATGATAATGCTTGTTTTCAATTCGGTTATAAAACCATGGTCCTCCAAGATTTTCTGGGTCATAGACTTTTAGTTCAGGATGATCAAACTTTGTAACTAATATTCTACATGCTGACTGCCTTTGATAATCAATTACTTCTATGAAATAGTAACAGAACTCATCTGCCTTCCCGGATTTATTAACCAGTCCTCCTGGCCCAACTAGTGTAGCCATATTAAAAGCAACATTTCCATACCTTTCTACTTCCTCAAATGGTTCAGATGCTTTTGATCTGGAATACGGACCATACCATAAAATTTTCCTTCCCGAAAATGGGTGTTGCTTTTTATGGACTTTGACACGGTAACCTTTGCACCATTTCAACAGTACAATATCAGGATTAACTACTGACGAATCTTTCGCGGATTGTTGTTCAAATCCACCATTTTCGAATATTTTACATGCATTTTCAAAACTTGTTACGTGAAGCAAAGTATCAAACTCTTCGTACGGAATACGATTGCCTTCTTGGTAAGAAAGGGGCCTATACTGTTTCATATATTGGAAATTGTTCGATTTTATTGGTAACCAATGTCTGTAAAATATTGGTGTAGATTTGCCATTCACATCAAAACGTTTCGAGTCGTATTCAAACTGAAACTGTTTCCAATAACTCATCTACAAAATAAACATAAATAGCGAGGAAAATGATATGACAATAGAAATACATATATTATTTTTAAGCGGTTGCTTTATTAATTTTTAATTTTATTTATTAATAGAACCAGAAGACCATGTGGTCATAGCATGAAATAAAAAGTACAAACAATTAAATGATTAACAGTTGTTTTAGAAATATACTACATTATTACATTGTCCCATTCAATATACCCTCATTTTCCAATGGCAGTCCAAATTGCAAGCCCTTATTCCTCCTGGTCGAACCCTATTACAGGACATACCTATTAATTTTTGTTACCTTATTTTCGTCCCGAACATACATGAAATATTTGCTACTGGACGTAAAGCAAACAACAATCAATAAATCATACGGAAGGCCTTAAAATGTTCATATTTTCTTTCGGCTAGCCGTGAAGTAGGCACTCCGTTATATATAAAACAAATATAAAAGGCACAGATTTTCGAATTAAAGTTTTAAGGCCTATGTCTATGGTCATGAACTGCAAATTATAGACAACAATACTCAAATTTCATGAAATAAGGATATCAATGTTTAGAGCACACACATCCTCAGCAATCCGCATAAACATGTAGAAGATACGTGGGAAATATATATTAAAAAAAAAGACAATGCATATTAGTATGTAATATGTGTGCGTTGTCATCATTTAAGTTACACAATATTAATAAAGGTCACAGTATGACACCCTAGAATGTCATTCATCCTTAAATGTTAATCGATTTACTTTGATAGTCGTAATACTTAGTT